TTTTTACTTGCGGGTTCGAACTACTAACCTCGGGTGGTGAGTTAAAATCTTGTTAGGGGGGCCTAGAGCCACGCTCTTCCAAGCAATTTTGTCACTTAATTGACATTCACATTTCTCGAAAAGGTTGATATACTTTAGTTCTTTGGGGTTAGATTATCTGTTCGAGTGAGGAGTCCGACTCACTTACTTGCGGCCTAACTTGGGAACTTGATGTCACTCTTTTCAAGTAGTGAGTCCGACTCACTTGCACACTGAGCCGTGGTTCGACACCAGGCCAGATGCTCTATTCTACATTAGTTTCTTTTATGTGTAGGTATAACTGAATGAAGTGGGGGACTGAGGGTCTTACCGTTTTCAAGGAAGCAAATGACGAACCTGACGAGTCTGAGCCCGACGAGAAGAACAGTTCTAGCCACATCCTATTCGCAGATGGCGACCATTGCAATAAAGGCTGAGGATCTCACCTCTTGCTTCATCTTGAGGGCGTCAGTTGTACTCTTTTTCCCTTCATTAGGATTTTTTCCCATTGGTTTTTTTTTCTAATGAAGGTTCTTAATGCGGCATCTCCCCAACATGGACAACGGCGGGGATCTTCTAGTCTCAGAGAAGAGCAACTGACTTGAACTACTCCCTCTTAGCCGAGTCTACTACTCGGCTAAGGGAGTGGGGGACTCGTGATGGAGTTATGGGATAGGCCCAGAGCCTAATCAGCCCAAACCCCGAACTTGGACCCGTGGTTCCAAGTCCACAACCTGGAGCCTACCAGACCAGCGGGGAGCCTGTCAGTTTGGCCGACATCCCAGCCTAGAAGAGTAACGGTCAAGCAATTTATGCGCTATTAATTATGTACTTAATTCCGTATTAATGTTGTAATTAATTAGTCATTATTACCGGTAGCGGTTACGATTCGTATACGCCTATAAAATGCGGGTTATAATTCAGATTAGTGGAGGCAATTTCTATAAGCTATTCTTGGCAACTAAATCACTTAGCGACTTTCCATTTTCGTATTACTTTCCTGATTTCATGTTTGAGTGTCGTACGTAGCTTTCCTAAAAGCCTATGAGCGTCAAATTTTGGACCAACATCCGTCCCAAAAAGATTCGCCATATTGACTTTTCATGGTCAATGATGATGAAATTCGGACAATGATTTTAAGTATTATATTTTTATATAATTTATAAATTTTATTCTTTAATGAAAATATTATGAATAAGGAACATTTTGATATAACTTTCATATTCTAAATAATTTCGTATTAAACAATATCATTGATCAAAGTTGATTGTCATTGACCAAGAAAAGTCAATTTGGCGAACCTTTTCGGGACAGAGGGAGTAGCATTTATTTCATTGTAAAGGGTTGACAACTTATCACTCTAGCATTATAGCATTCATAGCAGCTCGTAGTTTAATTCTGTACAAACGGCCTCTGTTGTAATTGCTCACTTGATTGGACTTGATAGAATACAACCTGCTTACTACCATTACCTGGCCCGCCTAGCTTGTTTTATCACTCACTATCTCTTCTTCATTCGAAATCCTTGGGTTACGTGTTGGGCCTACAGATTGAAGGAATAAACTTCAACACAATTAATTCTTATCGTATGATACACATCCATAAATGTATTAATGAATTATTCCCCCCGTTCCGAAAAGGTTGACCAAATTTCCTTTTTTGGATGTCTAAAAAAGATTTGACATTTCCATTTAAAGTAAGGAATATGTGGCTAAAATTAATTCTCTCTCATCTGCACAAATTTCAACCACACAGTTTTTACTTTATTAATTCACGTGATAGTCAACTTTGACCAACCTTTTCAGGACGGAGGGAGTATTTATTTAAAATTTTAACATCTTTAATACTAGTAACTATTTATCTTCAACTTGTTTTTCTTTGACTTATTTCTAAAACCATATATGTATATTTTTAATTGGAGCAATTTTAGTTCCAGATCTGACCAAACTTAAATAGAGCAGATTAGATGTTATTACACTTAAAAAGATCAAGTCAAACCAGGCATGCCTTAGATGATAGTGCAATACATTTCCACCAGAAATTTATTAGACCAAATTTAAATAAATCAGACCAGAATAAAAATGAGAAATGGTCCTCAATAGGACTAAAAAAACTGTCGGGTACTTAAATAGGAGTACATCTTTTTAAATACCTAAATAGGACTCTTTTTAGGTTGCTTGACAAATTTACCCTTCTTTAATCTATCCGTATGAAATATACAGATCCTCTACTGCATCGATCTGGATCTAGTCCCCTGTCTTCCGATCCAAACGAACTCACTCATACTACAACAAATTCTTTGCCGAACAACAGACGCGGCACACTAAAGCTTAACGAGATAAGGCAGGGCAAACGGGCAGTCATGCAGCGGGGAGAACGGTGGCGGCGATTGTGGTGGAAGCGGCAAGTTCAAGCCACGCGGGCATGCCTCTTTTTCTTCTTCTTCTCCTGGAGAGCATCTACTTCGGGGTTCCCATGGCCACTTGGCCGATTTACGCAAAGCAGCAGGCGAATGCGTTCCAATTGGTGCAGTGAAAGCAGAGGTCATAGAAGCAGGAATCAGAAAGCTTATGAACAACCCTTCTGCTTCTCCTGTGAGGATAAAGACTTGAGAACTTAAATAGAAGAGCAGATGGGCTTTGGAGGAAGGTGGCTCGTCTTTTAATTTTCTCAGCATGTCTTTTTTCAATCAAAAGAACTTAAATTGAAGCATGTGCTTATTCCAATCAATTTTTTGATTTGGTTTTTGTTTTATTTCTTTTGTATTTATGTTTTTTTTGCCGTAGATCTTACGCACTGGTTTTTGCCTTTTTGGAGCTAGTTTGTTTTGATTTATTGTTTTTCTTTTCAAATACTTATTTTTTCCTTTCCAAATTTTGCTACAGAAAGCATAGTTGGGTGGGCTTGGAAGTACACTGAGAGTACCCATAGTGCTTTACTGTCTCTTGGATTTGGAGCCATGTATTGGCATGAAACTGGAAGCCACTAGCGAAATCACAAGCTTAAGTTCTTAGATGTAATACTAGAATTGATTTTGGAGCTTCTGGAATCAACAATCGTAAAGCACCAAAGAGATGCCTCAGCTGCCCTATGTAAATTAGCAAATGAAGCTAGTTCACTTTCTCATATTGATGCAGCTTACCATACGAAGAAGATTAGCAAATGAAGCTAGTTCACTTTCTCATATTGTTTTTTTTAGAGAAGATAAGTGCTATGTTTTATTATATGTTTACTCCGTGTGTTATGACATTATTATAAATGTTTGGTTCCACTTTCATTGACATTTTTATGACATTGTCATTGACATTTTTATGACATTATCATTGACATTCTTATGACATTGTCACTGACATTGTAACATTTTTCTACACCTTTGGAAATGACATCATCACACCCTCATTGGCATTGACAATATTACAATGTCATCATTTATAGCATTGTCATTGTCATCCTTTGCCATTGTGACAGTTTTCTGACATTTTGATATTTTTCCGACATTGTCAACTTTTTTGACATTCTGGACTTTATTGCATTTTGATCAGCAATGACTTAAAATATCATATCACATCACATCATTTTGATATGTAGATGACAATGTCATTGACTTTGTTATGCATTGACATTGTAATGTCATTGACTTTGTTATGCATTGACATTGTAATGTCATTGACATTGTTATGCATTGACATTGTAATGTCAATGACATTGTTACGACATTGACATTGTTATTCATTAGCATTGTGATAATATAATTAATGACAATATTTGTAATAATATGACAATGTGAATGGTAAAGTCAACATTTTTTATAAATGGATTTTTTTAGTGAAATAATATTTGTTGTGGCAATGTTTATATTATTATGGTAATGTTTTAATGACATTGTTTATAACAATATCATAATATCGACATTGTATTTTGAAATATGACATTTTAAAGAAAATGTGAATCATTGGAACAAATTAGGGTCTCATGATTTTCTAACATGTGAACAAATACGCATTTTAACATTCTAACATGTGCTTTTGTAAAGGGTCTCATGATTTTCCCCTAATACAAGTTCTATGGCTTTAATTTAAGGAGTACAGGTTGACTTTTCAAATCCAATTTGAACTGTTCCTAAATAAGAAACGACTGGTCGGCAGCAACTCCAGGGAAGAACGAGCTTAGGATGATGCTTTCACAAGAATCGATGTGCGAAGAAAGCTACCTGGCCTGAAGCTAGCGTTGCGGTACGCTGCTCAGGAAATTAGCCGGCAGAAGACAGCAGCGGTTCCTTATTGTCGCTAAGCAGCAGCAGCAGCGGGTGAAACTAGAACCTATCTAGTGAGCGAATATGGCTAGGCGACCACCGGTTCTGCGGAGAGTATGAAGGTCGCGTCCTCTGCTGGTGATTCGGATCCTCGCCGGCAGTACCAACCCGCCAGGTCTCGATCGCACCATGTATGATCACTGAAGGCCGACTCAACTAATTAGAGCGGGGGTATTTTTGTCCCTTCAGTATCAAATTAGTCCTATTTGAGAGTAAAAAAGTTGTGACTCCTATTTAAATACAATCCTTATGTTTTAGTCCTATACATGTCTTTCTCCCAATAAAAATAATTTTCAAAACTTTATACATAAAAAATTAAAATCAAACACAATTAAGTGGTGCACGGTGCGCTTAGCAATATCAAAGCACAAACTTTGAAGGCAATTCAATTACAGGGAAATGAGGATCAAAATTTCTAAATTAATCTTTTTGAAAGGGTAATGTAGTCACATGGAGGTTACACTAATTAATTTAAAGGGTGCACGTAACAACACCCTTTATTAGATTTAATTAGGGGTTGCGATTAGTATTTGTATGGCGGTATATAGAATTAAGGGTAATTTGAATTTGCATCTCAATTTATTATCAGAATTGGACTTTGCAACCTGTTTTTAAAAATCTTTGATCATGCACCTAACGTGGTAAAAAAATTACTCCGTATGAGTTTGGGGCATAACGCACGCCGAGACCTGCCATTTGTCCGGCCCAAGTTGCGACATTGCTCAAACCCTTGGGACTCACCATATCCACTATTTTGCAAGGCACAATCCCATCGGCCTCAGCTGGCTGGGAAGAAAAAATGGGGAGCAGATTGGGAAGAAGAGTTATACACTTCGCTAATCTACCAATTAAACTTCTTATGCCCTCGTCCTTCTCCAATATTACTGAAATTTCTCTCAAAACCATTCCCTCCGCTACCAAGGTACGGTACCCTTTTCTATCGCTTGCGTACTGAAATGGAATCGTTAGATTTTTTTTCGTGGAATTTCAGATTGAGATCAAGAGGGTTTTGGAGTCCCTCTACGGATTCGAAGTCGAGAAGGTGCAAACCCTAAATATGGATGGGAAGAAAAAGAAGCGAGGTGGGTTATTGATCGCCAAGCCGGACTACAAAAAGGCATATGTTACCCTGAAGAATCCCTTGTCCATGTCATCAGATCTATACCCAATCGGACTGATTGAGCAGTACAAGAAGGAAGCCAAAAATAAGTCAAAATCCAGCATCATCGAGGAAGGTGAACCAAAGAAGATGCATTGGCTTGAAGAGAAGAAAGAAAGGGGGAAATCGAGACCCGATACAAGGTTTTGCGGCGGAGATCGGTCCAGGAATGTTCGTCGGGGTGGTTCTGAGGCGTCTGAAGCTGTAAAGTTCCCCTGGAGTAGCATGAGGTCTTTTGCTGGCAGGTAGGATTTTAAACTTGAAACTTTAAAAAGTGAACTTATTTTGCATTTGAACAACTGTTTGCAATGCTAATGAGTAATGAATAGGGTTGATACTAATATTTGATGAATAGTTTTCAGTTGCCTGTATCACTCTTTGTTTTTGCTTTTTTATTTTGTTTTCTTTAGCCTATATCTGTAGTTTGAAATCTCCAATGGCATGTGAAATTAATGTAAAAACAGGTTTGGTGTCGCTGGAATTTGAGTTATTCCTTTCCTCAATCTGATCCATGTTATATCTCAATCATTCCCCTAATTATTGAGGATTGGTTCTCTATGTCTTCAAAAACTTTATTCAAAGATTTATAATCTCTAACGCAAATTACTACCCTTAGCCCATTAACTATTCTGTAGATGAGTGGAACAATGCATCTATCGCCTTACTCAAAACACATATATTGCGAGATTTAAAGTTAATTGCAATTTATCATTTATTTTCTGAAATGACTGAACCTATAGATTTAAGTTAACAGATAAAAAGGAACTGTTAAATATCTTTAATGTGAACGTTTGAAGATATTGTTGGATTATGAGTCTTATCAGCCAATTTTCTCTAGAGAGAGAAACCCTTGCGGCCGTTTCCCCTCTTTGTAGGGGTTGAGATTTTTCATCGTCCCTATTAATATAGGGTTGGAGTGGTAGATTATACTGCTTTTAAGTGTCCTAACACTTGAGATTGCAATTGCGTCGGAGGAGATATCGTTTGCGATTGAATGAGGTGTGGCTGAGAGGTTGTATCGAGGCTTGATCGTGAAGCCTTGGTCAGTCATTCTGACGGTAGTGGAGTTGGTATTCACCCATATTGCAAGAGCTCATCCTCCTCCGGAACCACCTCCATACTAGTAAGACGTTTTTGTAAAGATTTTATTTCAAGATTATTTTCTCTTTAGTTGCAATTGTTTCTGTTTTAGTCTGAGTAGATTTAGTTTGAACCGTTTGGATTTTGGAGTTCTCGTGAAAAGCAGGGTTTCAGTTCCGGTCGTTTTATGCCTAAATTTGTCTGTTTCAGGTTTACCATTTCATGTTGCTTTGTATGAGGTGGTTGACTTTAAGTCTACTCCTAGGATTGGGTACGCTCGGTGTTAGCGAAATACACCCGCTCTGCCTCCCTCTCGTCCGCCAAACGACGGATGGTATCTGCCATCTCCCTCAGTGCATCAGGGTCCTGTCGGGCCTCGTGAGGGATCATATCAGTGAGTACCCTGAAGCCCTCGCGAGTCCATAAGCTGCTGGACTGGGCCCCTGCAGTCCGGTTGCGGCCCCTTCTGCTGCGAGCTAGCCGTGAGGAGAGATCCTGGGAGTTCCCTTCATTGTTCCTTGCCATCTTACTTGTTTTGAGTGTTTAAGAGTGACTTTTAGTTGAGAGCTCGGTTTTGGAAGAACTTTTTGATCAGATTCCCACAGACGACGCTGATGTTGAGGTTTATTCTTTCAATCCGTATGCCCAACATGTAACCCAAGGATTTCGAATGGAAAGGTGAAGAATAGATGATTATCAAGTAAGAGGAGGCCCAATAAGGAGTCTTTATACACTGAATGGGTTACAAGGCATGAGGCCGTTCGTCCCTTGCCTATGGTATGAACTATTACAATGCTATAATATTAGAGTGCTCAGTTGCCGATACTTTAAAATGAAATAAATGCTACTATTTATACCGCCAATGGGTTATTGGATGCGTTGACGTGGCAGGCTGTGGATGGCTTGATCCCAACCACCAAATCTTCTACATTAAATGCACAACCACCAAATCTTCTGCATTAAATGTGCTTCCCATCAGGATCTTGGCTTCCCATCAAGGGGTGGGGACGTTTGTCCCCATGAGCTTGCCTCCTGTTTCTTGCTGGGTCCGAAGTGTTGTGAGATGAGCGTCTCGTGTTGCCAGAATCTTGGCTTCTCGCCTAGGGGTGGTGACGTTCGTCCCCATGAGCTTGCCTCTTGTTTTCTGTCGAGATCTTGGCTTCCCACCAAGGGGTGGGGACGTTCGTCCCCATGAGTTTGCCTCTTGTTTCCTGCCGGGATCTTGGCTTCCCACCAAGGGGTGGGGACGTTCATCCCCATGAGTTTGCCTCTCGAGTCCTGCGAGACGTGCGTTAGCCATTGCCCCTGGGTCAAAGCACCTGCCTATGCCAAACTATCCAACAAAAAGTTGTAGCATAATAATAACAAAGTGAACTTCTGGCCGGCTATTATTGGGTTTGAGGTTTTAATTTTGCAACCCTACCCATTAGTTGCGGGTTCGTACATATTTAACTTATGAATATTTTTTAATCAAATACCCGATTAAGAATGGACGGGTAGGATTGAGTTAGGCGGGTTATGCGTGTTTGGGTTATTCTTGTGCAATCCTACTAGAGATAAGAGATGTCATGTTGGGTTAACAAATGACGCAACTTTTATCGCAACAATAAGAGTTAGGTACGATGATGCCGAGTTTTACCCAACTCGATTGGGTTTGAATTGACACCAGACAAATGGAAATTGTGAAGATCAAATTGCCTTGTATGAACAAGGATGAATCTGCTTTGGTTTCAATGTGTCACTTGATTCGGTCCTTCAATTTTATCCATTGTTCTAAAACTCGATAGACTCTAGTTGAGGGGTTGAGGGGTCGATAGGCTCAATTTTATCCTAGGCACCGACTTTTATCAAATCGGAGATCTAGATTAGTTATTATTTTTCACCTAATCAACACTTTTCATTTGAACCAAACTATATATATAGGGCGAGTTTCAAATAAGAAGTTTTTAGGTGAGAAATGAGAATGAATCGAAACCGTTGAATTCTGATATATATTGCAATAAAAATAACTTTATAATGCACTCAAATAAGCAACATAGCATGATGACATTTTCATAAATACTTGTGAAAAAATAGTATTGCAATTGTGTAGTACAACATGAAGTTGTTTTGGTGCAACATCGTCAAATTGTAGTGCAATACGAAACAATTTTAGTGCAACATTAAGCTATTTTTAGTGTAAAAATGTAAATCTAATCATTACTAGAAAAATGCCTTACGATGATACCAAATTAGTGTCACTAAAAGTTTATGTGACACTAAAAAGTGTTAATGAAAGTGGGGCTAGTGATACTAAAAAAGTGTCACTAAAAGTGTCACTAAATTATGACACTATAGTATCACCAAATTATGACACTACAGAATCACAAAACTCTATGATATTGTGGTATCACAAAACTCTATGATATTGTGGTATCACAAAATTCAATGACACTAGGGTATTACAAAACTCAATGACATGCTAATACTATGAAATCATACACATGATACATTTTTGATTACAATCATAATTTAATACTCATAAATAACCGAAAGTTCAAATATTTTTATTTGTATCTCAAATTCTCACATAAATGTGAATGTACATACTACATAATTAAAAGGGGGAATTTGACTTTGCATCCCAGGTTTTGGGTGATATTTGACTTTGCAATCTATTTTCAAAATCATTAGTGTATGCATCCCAATTCACTATAAAATCATTTGACTTTGCACCTTACTCCTTCACAATTTTTGGGCCGGGTGCACACATTAATGATTTTAAAAATGGTTTGCAAAGTCAAATATCATCCAAAACATGGGGTGTAAACTCAAATTCTCCCTAATTAAAAGGGGCACACCCCACAACAAAAAATAATAACAAGAACAAAATGCTACCTAAAATAAAAACACATGTGTCAAAACACAAAGGGGCCGAAACATCAACTATGGATAATAGACGAGATGAAGTGGCCTTCATAGTTATAGCACCATACGCATTCAATAAGGCAAGTTGAGCACTTCGATCTAGAACAGTCATACACTCTTGATACTCAAAAAGGGAAGCTTGGAATTGTCCCCGATCTTTACACTACTTGCACTAAAAAAGATGAGCAAACAAACCCCCCATATCAAGCTAGGCGAAAGAAAACACAATCTCTTCGACACACCAATGAATCCCCTAGGCCTGAAACGTGAAATGAGATTGTATTCACAGAAACGTCAATAAACTAAGCACAATAGAAATTCAAAAGCAAATGTCTGCGTAAAGAATCTGTAAAAATTCATGCTGCAATGCTTAAACATATGTATCTGATCATGCAATACTAGAAAGAGACCACATGTTGTAAATTGTAATGCTTAAACATAATCCAATGCAAGTGTCACTGCTCAACAAGGAATGAAAGCTAAAGTAACAAGCTACATCCAAATCTTATCAAGTGAGCTAAAGCCTTGAAATTTTTTTCAGTAAAAATTGTTTTGTAGGTTCATACATTCCGACAAATATGGCAGAAGCTCTTTAATGGGGGAAACTAAAAAAAAACTAAGCCTCCATTAATTGAACAGTGCATGTAGTGCAATCTTTTTCCTGGCACTATCTCGCGAGGTTATGAGTAAAAATAATGTCTATTAACTTTCAGATTGGACTTAACATCATCTTATCATGGCATTAATTTCACAGTAGTATGATAACATCAAAACAAATGCGTGGGATCTTCATCTATGCTTCCATTAGATTTTTAACATCTCAAATTACAAAATAATCGATAAATATGCTTATAGAGATCAAAGAAAGATCTCTTGATAGTTGCCTTCCATTTCATCACTTCACTGTTCAAATGCCCCTGCATCTCTGTGTTTAGGTTGTATCAATGGTAATTCCTTAACACTGCCTTGCACCTCTGGAATTCTGGAACCCAATAGATGTAAGTTAGAATGAAAAATATCATGAAGTAAAAGATAATATTAGTTAATATATACTCCGTAGTTATTAACTAGTTTTGTATGTTACACATCAGTGAAGTGATTCGTTAATATCACTTAATTTTTATAAACTAAACTGTTTGTTAGAGAATTAGATATTAATAGTTTTACCAAAGTCTGAACTCTATTATACGAGTTTTAAAAAGATGCCAAAATTAGTGTTTGCTAATTACTAAACTGACAAGTATACTCAATTGATTATTGTAGATTTCTTACAAACCCGATTCCACCTTTCGAATACCATGTCTTTGTCATTATAACTGGAAAGGTTACCAAAAAAAGTAGTGATAAAGATAAGTGGAGATGAGATTACCAAAAGTAGTATTGCCATCTCCTTCAGATTAATAATAAGCAACCGAACCATTACAATAATACTGGCTACAATTAAGAAAGGCCAAGGATGAGCCAAACCTGCAACACATGGCCTGGATTTAAGGGATCTTGTTTCACGTCTTCCTCGGAAGGGATTGTTTTTCCTTGTTTGATCCGTAGCTCGGCGCTTCTAAGTTTAGCATGGCAAATACTCCAATTAAAAACAAAAGTGATAGAATAAGAATATCCATAGCTCCCACCCACAAAGAAAAGCATGTAACATTTCTATCAAAAGGCATGTTTTTGTTTCGAACTCCTTTTGGGGCCACACACATAACTAATGCAAAAGAATCCCAAAACGCCACACCATATAGGCCGTGCTATTAACATCACTGGTAAATACAAATCTTACTATGTAATTTTTTTTGAACTCTTATCATTGAATATTTTTGGAAAACCAATGTGTATTTTTTACTAATACATTGTTAAGTATGTCATTGGTCAAAGTCATTTGTTGGTAAACGTGAAAGTCAAACTCTTTCACCTAGAAAAGAACAAAGGTTAGGATATGACTGTTTGTTTTCATTCTTGTGATTAAAAATTCAATATGCATATTTTTACTAATTTACCAATTTCCCCATATAACTATTCCTACATTAAATGGTTTTGTACAAGGAAAAACATAAAATCGATCTACTGTTAAGCCCAAATGAAGGTAGGAGAGTCAACTAGTATTGTTCCTATATGTACACTCTTCAAAAATGTCAATTGTTTTGGACTATAGTTCAATTTTATGGTCTTTCCTAGTAATCTCCTTCCTAACCCAAACCAATGGTGATTCAATTAGGACTATAGTTCCTATAGACATATCATGGACATTGACACTTCATGCGCTGTACATATGTTCTAAATGTAAATGATGATGCACTTCATCTACCAAACAAAAAATGCAGTTCATCCATAAGTACAAATAAAATGGATATCCTAGTTTTGGAAGCTCAAGAATAGAGAAAAATGATCAGGGATAAAACCATGATATGTTGTTTGGGATTAGTATCAGGAACTGCACTGCGCATATCCATCATGTGGCCTTTGGCAGAAACAAACTTTGATTGATTTGTGGTATAGAAAACGAAAAATATGCCAGTAAAGTGTATCTAAAAGTTATAATTTCCAATTTAATGGCAACAAGGGGAAAGAACTTCTGTAGTGTGATTTATTGCTAGCTAATTGAAAAACATAAGATAGACCAATAAGCACTGAATTAGCTGGAAGCTCAATGAAACAAGCTAGGTTAGTGTACGAAAGGTAAGAATGAACATAAGTGAACAAAAGTGAAAAGAATGAACTCTTTAAATCAAAACTTCAAATTAAAAGGCAAATGACTAGATGAAACTGGTAAATACTTACAGACGGCCACTCCTATCGCGTCTTCCAAGCAGCTGAAACCCCATCTATTTCTACCATTGCCGCCTCATGACACTTTTAAATGTTTCTGATAGTTTTTATGCATACAGACGCATAATCGAGCATATGATTATTTTTAGGTTAAATATTAAGAATTGATTATTAAAGGAGGTATTGAGATGTAAATAGAGATGTCGAGACAGAGAGCGAGAAAATACGGGCTATTCTCTTCGTTTTTCGGTTGAGAATCTGAAAGAGAAGGCGAAGAGTTGCTTACTCAGTTCGTCAATCGGCTAGGACTGGAGTGGAATCGAGAGGAACCGAGCTGAAATCCTATTTCACTATGAGATTTGATGTCACTGGAGCAGCTTCACACTTTCATCTCCATATACCTTCTCCATATCTCGCTGCACTAGAAGGTTGCAGTGGAGAAGATGAGGAAGAAGTTCCACATCGCAAGAAGATATAAGACGGACAAAGGAGGATCTCGTTGCCCCTGTTGCTGCACGTTGAATTCGCCTCGTCGATGGAGTTTCTTATTCTCATTCCTCCGCTTCACCAGTAGCTTGGGTCGATCAAGATGACGATCAATTGATGGATGAGAATAAGGGTTATTAGAGAACGAGAATCATTTGATTTAATTGGAAGAAGATCACTTGTCGATTCGATAATATAAGAAGGCGCTAGGGTTCTAAGTGAACGAGAATAGCTCTATCGGTTGGAAGAAAGGGAAGGCCCCTAATAAAAGAATCTAAGTTTGAGAATATGCCAAAAACAATGACACATATATGTCATAAATAATATAGTGATGTTATAGTGTCACTAAACAAGTGTCACTGTAAGCCAGTTTTTTAGTAGTGAATGGTTGAGATTCATTGTTATTTTTCACGTTAGATGCATTTCTCACTTGAACCAAAAACTATGTGTGATGGAGTATATTGGCAATCTCGAGAGTTCACTAAGGAAACTCCGACCAAGGCCATGCTTGCCGAGGCTGAGCTTACGACCGGTTCTCAGATCATCGAAATAAGTCCTAAACTGTAGTTAATGCTAAGGTCGACCCTCGTTCGAGATTGGTGGCCTTTGCGGCACTACGGCCGAGCCTAAGGCCCATTCCCGTGTTACGAGCACAAGATCAACAAGGCCAAGTTCATTTTTCGTTATGAACTGAGGTTCCTCACCTCCAAGCCAAACTAACACCGGTGTCTAAGCTAAGTATGCACTTAGGCTGAGCTCAGTACCTCAGATAGAAATCGTGGGCTTAGACATTTCAACATTAAAGATCACACAACATTCAGGATCTCGTCACCCCGTGACAGTTGTCCCAGGGCTGATGTGATGCAATTCAGTTACATCTGTGAGCTTCAATACTTACATGTGTGGCTTTCGAAGTCATTCCAGTGCGTCAAGTACAAATGCCGGTACAACAATATCAATCAATCAAATATTCTCTCCCCGATCAACCTTACAAGTGGGAATAGACTAGTGGATCGGTTACTTTTACTTGTTCATCAAGTATTTCCTTGTACACTATAAATATCATCTTCCAACTTGTGGATAACGATCGCAATTCTGATTTTCTAGCATACAGTTACGTTGCCAAATTTCTGACTCAGTTCATACTTTACATATTTTTCGACTCTCCATCGATTTTGCCTATATCCTTGATCGGTAAAGCCATCTGATAGACTATATGTCTAGAGAGAAGTGAGAGCTAGAGATAGAAGTGCAATGTATTTGAAGGTCCTCGCCCGCGAGACATCCATTATCGAGGAGGGACTGTTCGGCCTCCGGGGGAACACTGGAATTAGTGAGAGATTCCGAAGACTGGGAGGGAGAATTGGGTGCCTGACCGCTCGGGCCGGCTTTTCCCCTTGAAGAACGACAGATCAAAACCATGTCTTCCTCGTCTGAAGAGAAGTATCTGGACATAAAAGAGGAAAAAGGGGGTTGTAAATACCTCAAAGAAGAGAAGCCTGGATGATTTCTAGAGAGACAAAGCTAGCAACAAGTCAATGATTGAAGAAGCAGCAGAAAATGATGAGGTACCAGCTTCCCCATATTTATATAGAGGGATCACCGTCCTGGGACCAAACCCAGGAGGGACACGTGGCAGGAGCTAAATGGGCTACCTCGGAGGTCGCAGAAACATGCCGAACGAACGAACGAGTGATTCCTCTGGGTAATTCAACAGCTAACAGAATGTCTCGAACGGCTGTATAAGGCCAGAAAAAATACCAGTTCCAAAGGACTCGGAAGCTCATCAACAGATTTTAATACGAGATTTCTGTCCAATGATATAGTCAGGGACCCTGAACGGGTTAAGCCTGACATGAAGGGCGACCAGTCAAACATCCCCCCAGCAGAAGGATCAAGATCCCGGCCGAGATCCCTAATTATGGGGAGGTGGATGGAACCTACTGCTAATCCAGGAGTCTTGAAACGAAAGGCTAATCCCGAACGGGTTGTCACCAGATGAGAGATTACAGTACAGGGGCCCTGCTTGAATCATATGCGATTCGGGAACCCTGAATGGGACGAAGTTAGTATGAAAAATTGCTAAGTCCAAAATGTTGCGTTGGGGAGTTCGAACGGCCAAATGAAAGGTAAAGGGAAAGAATAAAAATGAATCATGCAAGAAACTAAAGAAAGGACAGATAAACAAAAAAGTATTTTACTCCTCGGCACTGCTGACCGGAATTTATATTAAGGATTGAATGAGCAAAAGAGACAGGTGGATACACAAAATTATAAAAATAAAACTACTGGCCGGCATCCTGTCCTTCGGATTCATCATCATCGCCTTCGCCATCGGTCTCATCATTAGTCGGGGGATCAGGCTCCCTGCCTACAGCCCGGTCAGCCTCCCTCTGTAAGTTGCGGTGAAATTTGTCAAACTTGGCCAGGAGGACCTTATCCTCAGAAAATTCCTTAATCTCGATCGGCCGACCAACAAGTTTCTCAATGATGGGCACCATGCCCTCCATAACCCGTTGACAGTCGGAGATATAAGTGTCCTTGGCTAGAGCGTTGACCCATTTCATACCAACCGCAGTTTCGTCGGTCAGCTTTACCCCCTCTTCAAGGCGAGCCGGGCCCGGGGGGAGCTGTTCCAGACGCTTCCCGAACAGCCCCCCCGCCTGTGCTAATCCATGCTCTTCGACAGCTTTCATAAAATCCCTAGAGGATCGGAATTCATCAAGTGCTGATGCCCGAACGACAGATAAATCAACAAATATTTCCCGAGGACCGTCCGAGATCTGAGGTTCGTTTTCCTTAAAAATAACTTGAGCGGTCTCAGCAGCATGAACCTTAGACTGAGCGGTGGCAAGGCCCACCCGGAGTTGGCCAAGCTCAGCTTCGAACTTCTTCTCCTCTTGATCAGCTGCCTAAAGCACTTCAGCAGTAGCCTGCTCAGCAGACATCCGAGCCCTAATCAACTCCTCCTCTCTTTCCAACTGAGCAAGCTGGAGCTGAACACTATAGTAGTCGGCCTGCAGGACAAAACAGTTATTTACCGAACGACATGAAAGACAAACAAAGAAACGAACGATGGGAATTTACCTTAAGAGTGGCAAGGGCGACCCCTGTCTCAGCCTGCTTGACTGACAGCTTCGGGAGGTGGTAATCATTCATCATGGCGAAGGTACTTCAGACCCGAGCAGGATGGCATCCACCTTGTTCTATGATCGCATGGATAGGGTCCTCCATCAAAATTGGCTCCACAGGCTTGGAAACAGAGGCCTGTCCGACCCCAACGTTGAGAGCGCCGAACGAACCTGAGGCATCATTAAAAAGAGGGTTGGTGCCATGGGAGCAAAAGTTGAGAGCATATCTCTCCTGGGAAATTTTCCCCAGCTCTTTTGCGTAAAGAGATCAATGGGTCTGTAAGATTTCGTTGGGTTTAATCTGTTCGATGTTGCTGTTTCTTGGTTAGTTTTCTTCTCTATTACCAGACCCCAGCTTGGATTTGGTCTTAGAAGGTTATATGAGCCGGAATAGCGCAAGAACGATTGTTTTGACGGTGATTTTACTGTTCACGGAAAACTGAGTTTTCTGTGCGATTTTGGATTTTCGTGGTCGGAATCCCATCCTCTTTTCGTTTCCGCACTCGGTTACGTATTTTGAATGGTGATATAAGACCTTAAAACCAAAAACCAGATTCGTACTGATTTGAATTCAACGGGGTTGTTTATAGCTATGCGTTGGGATTTCTGATTTAGTGCTTGGGGGTTTTTCTTCGTACTGTGGTGCAGCGTCTGACTGATTGTGGAGGTTGGGGGTAGTGGAAGCTCGGTCTGCGGCTACTGTCCCCTGTGACCCCTTTTTTGGTCCAGCTTCTGTAACAATGGGGAGGAAGAAACATAGTGGTGCTGGTCCGAACTCAACAACGAAACTGACCAGGTCTTCTCCCAGGTTTTCGGTGCTGGATGGAACAGATGAAGAGTTCCCTGAACTCTCCTCAGCAATGAACACGTCTGGGAAGAAAACTGATTGTCAACAGCCTATCACAATTGAGATACCTGGGGAAACAAGGAACAAAACAGAACCTGTGCTGAAGATAAAGTCTGCTGCGGTTCCTTCTCCTGTAACGGCTACTGCTGCATTACCAGTTAATGAGGGCACTGAAGTTAATGACTCCCAACTGCCTGGAAGTGATGCCGCTGGACAAATTGTAGAAAAAGTTGGACAGGGCACCAAAAAATGGACAGAATTGCTTTGTGACAACCGTGCTCCCTCCAAAGGTATTAAATTAAAATACATACCTTCGGTTGATGATTATGTTGATCTTTCAAATTGTGTATTACCTTCGATGGTCTCTTTGTGGGGGTATTGCCTTGTTGGATGCTTTACAGGAAGGTTTCCCAGGCTAAAAGCGATTTATGGGTTAGTGAAACGTTGAGGTGTACAATGTACGGTGAAACCCCATGACAAAGGGTGGGTGGTTTTTAAATTTAAAAACGAGCAAGACCGTACTAAGGTCTTCACCGAGGGTCCCTAAAATCTCTATGGTAGACTCCTTATTTTGAAGATGCTTTCCGATGACTTCACTTTTGACGATGAGGCATTCCTAAAGGTGCCTATTTGGGTTAAGTTCCCCAATCTACCGCTGAATTTATGGAATGAAGAGGCAATGAGCAAGATTGCATCGAAGGTGGGTGTTCCTATCACCACGGACAAGGTTACACAAGAGATGACAAACTACCATTTTGCAAGGGTTCTCATTGAGGTGGACATTACCATGGCGCCTTGCCTCTCCTTTGCTATCCGTTTGCCTTCGGGGAAAATCATTAAACAATTGGTGGTGTACGAGACATTCCCTAATTTCTGTTTTCATTGCAAATCATATGGCCACCACCCCTTTATTTGCAAACAATTGGGATGGAAAAAAATTGAAAAAGAGGTGATGAAGGATGATGGGAAAAACATTGAGGAAAACATTGAGGCTGCTTCCCTTGAGATGGTGCACCACAAGCCCAAACCGAAGGGGAAGGATGGGGACAAAGCGCAGCCTGAAGCTACTGCCCAGGGGGCAAACCCGACTGGGCCTGGCTCTAACCCGACCGGGTCCCTGGGACAGAATGCAGGCCAGGTTTCTAATGCTGCTTCGCAGACTGCCAACACTGTCCGGAAGCCTGTTTCAGACGCGAAAAAAACCCAGAAGATTGCTGGGACCACGGAAGAGGATGTCGAGGGGGTTGTGGAAGATATTGAGAGAATAGTGACGGAGGAGAAGGACCTACATCAGTATGACGTTGTCATTAAATGTGAGGTAATTAAAGATAAGCTCAAGTTGTTTGTTAAACCTTTTAGGTTCGTGCAAACGAGTGTGATTAGAGTTGATACCTCGCTCCGGCTTACGGATGATCTGGATAACAAAGGCCTTACTTTTACTGCCAAATGTTTTGAGGATTTACCGGGAGTGACTAAAAAGAAAGGAGAGGTTTGCTTTGACCCAAAGTTCACCACCCCTTTCCACAAGTTCCTTGGAGTTTAGATTTGGGATACCTAATTATGTTTGAGGTAGTGTGATCTGTTTTGTTCTTAACTATAGTTAGGCCCAAATTCCGATTCTGATTTTGTTTGAGCATTTGCTTTAGAGTTGTGGTATCCCATTTATCGGGATATGCACTTTTGGTTGTACACATTGACTTGTTATTTTCTTTGGGTGTTAATATATATATTTACATTTCATCCAAAAAAAAGAGGGTTGGTTTGCAAATCCCCGAACTGCTGATCTACCGACATATCAGTGAAGTTTACCTCCTCAAGAGGCACTTGTCGAAGTGGCTGAGGTTGCTAAACCTCAAGTTGGGCGGCCGATTGGGTGGTCTCAGGGGCTGAGGTCCTGGCCTTCTTCTTGGACGGCTTCTTTTTCTTAGTCGCACCCATTTCTTCAAGTCGACTCCTGTTCATGACTGCTTTGATATTGGGAGCTAGAAAAATAAAAAGAAAGGAAAATGTTAGTATCAAGCGGTCTTAGCGTGTGTGAAACAAGCATGGTATGTAAGTTTCTCGCATGGTAGGACCGCCCAGGCCATGGCACTTGGTTTTTAGTCAAGAAGTCCAGGAATTCGGGCGGTACCTATCCGGGCTCCCACAAGCCGAGCGGGGGTTAAGTAGTCTATAATGTCCAACGTCCTGGCCCTCTCCACAACGATGATCTTCTCTTCTAGCTCCTTAGAAAGGAAGGGCTCGGTGGATTTGGGCGGATACGCGTTTCACCTCTGTGGGATAAGGCCGTCCGGGACGGAAACAAAAAAGAATCGGTCTTTCCACCCCTTGATGGAGGTAAGGTTCCCCTTGAAGAGAATCTGCCTCGTTCGGGCACCCACTGCCAGGAATCCGTCGGTTTGTTGGGGAGAGACCTTGAAGAAATGATGGAAGACGTCCAGATCGGGCACCACATCAACATTCGTGCAACGACAAATAAACCCAACAATGACCCGATAGGAATTCAGCATTATTTAGGCCGGAACTACTTGGTAATGATTAAAGAGAGCCACAAAGAAGGGGTGCAACGAGAACCTTAACCCGGCCTTGACGGAATTAAGATGCACCACCACCATTCCAGGGCGGTGGCGTAGGGGATGGAGGCTAGCATGAAGGAGAAAATCAACCGGGTCAAGAATTAGGGCAGGAATCTGGGCTCTGAGTTTGGGCGAGAGTTTTTGCCTTTGATTTTTAATGGACCTCAAGTCCAGGTGGTGACGAGGGGTATCGTCAGGAGGGCCTTTCTTCATCACTGCTATATCATCGCCGGATTTCGCACTATTGGAACCACCACCCGAAGTCTCACTAGAAGAAATTAGGGATTTCGGGAAAAGGCAGAGCTCTTGCAGAATTCAGAAACCCGGGCCCAAGGGCCCAAAGTCATACTTATACCAAAAAGCATCGATTCGCGGACCAATCCCAGGTGGACACGTAGCAAGGGACGCTCCAAGGGACACGTGTCGAACGGAGGCAAAACGTCAAGTAATCATGATGGTTACATGGGGAATACAAACGATAGCTGCCAAAGAGCTTCGAACCGTCATGTCATGGGCAGACAAGCACTAGCAAGGAACATGAATGGGATCATACCAAACGGCGGGAAACTTAGGTTTCTACATCCTCATGTCCCGAGCACGCTCAGAACATCGGAAGTGGCGGACTTGTGATGAGATATTAAGGACCGGCCCAATATACCGACCCAGAATATCCCTAAAGCCCTGACGCAAGGGAAGGTCCAGGGAAAATCATCAGACCCGAACGGCAAGCCCCGTTCGGCACATCCCGAACGGGGTGTAATTAACACTTGGGTAATTAGCTTATTCCTGATTGGTGGCTTAGCTGGGTTAATCCCGAACGAGAATTGCTCAAGTAACCGACTGCAGTTAATGTTGGATCATGGGGGCATCAAGTGGCATGGGAGGCAACCAATCATATTAGAGCACCCCATACCCCCATCTAGTATAAATATCATCATTTAATTCATTTGTAAGGGTTAGCATTTATTTACTCTCTAGCTCTAATAGCATTCTAGCTCTTGTATTAGCCTTTGGACTTGAACAACCGTTCGGCCATTTCTATGTAATTGTTATTACTGCGTTAAAACAAGCTGAGTTATTTGATTACTTGAATCAGATTTTATATTTTCTTTTATACACTTTACTGTAGCAAATCACATCCTAGATCCAAGGTTGGTGTTGGGCCTTCAGGTCATTCAGGATTTAACCTCAAAAAGTGTGCACTAATAGTATTTATGTTTTAAATAGAAGAGGATGTCGGTGCACTGTGGTCCTAGCAGGCGCCTATTTTGCTAGATAGTTAGGAAGGCAAGGAGGAGTCTCTTTGAATAATACTCCCTCCGTCCCAAATTTAACTTCACAGTTTGACTTTCACACACTTTTAGGTAGATTAAATTTTTTGTTTGACTTTCCCAAAATAGCCTCAAGGCTTGCGGCTACAATAATAAAGGGGAAAGGGCAGTAATGATCAGTAGTGAGAGGTAAAAAAATTAAATATCAATATTTTTCAATCCAATCACACTCATTACATATCACATCAAACACTATAACAACATCTTTCTTCATCTAATCTATTCTAAACACTTCTACACACTAAAAATTCCCTTCAATTTTTCGGCCAAATCATTTGAAGTTCCCTCCCATTACACTCTATTTATATCTATTCTATCTTTCTTCATTTACTCCCACAACAACCAAAAATGAGCATTGAAGAGCCTGTACTTCCTGCAACTCCTCATGGCAGCCACAACAACACAGCAACACAACTACAGCTTTCCTGCACCTTAAATGCTCCTGCACGAACCAAAAAATGGAAGAAGTTAACAAATAAAGACATAAGTAGGATTGTTGAAATTGTGTTAGCCAACCACAGTGAGGGGCGACTCCAGAGGGGTATTTTTACAAATACAACATCACATTTCAACATTTCAAGAAGAACAGTTCATGACTTGTGGAAAAAAGCAAAGCAACAAATGGACCAAGGCATGTCCATCAATGTTCAAAGCCTACAAAAGGGAAATGTAGGCAGAAAAAGGGTAGCAATTGACTTAGACTACATAAAGGATTACCCACTGCACAAGAGAAAGAACATCAGGTCTTTAGGCTTTGCTATGCAAGTTTCAAAGTCAACCGTGCACAGACTAGTGAAAGCTAAGCAAATCAAAAGGCACTCAAATGCAATCAAACCTTTATTGACAGAGGCACGCAAGATTAAAAGGTTAGAATTTTGTTTAGGCCACTTAATCACTCATAGCCCCCCAAGAAATCCCACTTTTCGTCATTTTTATGACCATCTTCACATTGATGAAAAATGGTTTTTCCTATCTAAGGAAACAACCAACTTTTACACTCACAGTACTGAAGAAGATCCATATAGATCTGTACAGTCCATGAAATTCATACCCAAAATAATGTTTTTAGCTGTTGTGGGCAGACCAAGGTTTGGGGATGCAGGGGATGTCATATGGGATGGGAAAGTAGGTATCTTTCCTTTCACATTTCAAGAGAAAGCAAAGAGATCAAGCAAGAATAGAATAACAGGCACACTAGAGACAAAACCTACATTAAGTGTGACAAGGGCTGTAATGAAAGACATGATGTTACAACATGTCTTGCCTGCCATCAAATGTAAGTGGCCAGACAGTGTTAACAAAAGAGTGATCATTCAACAGGACAATGCAAGACCACATGTTGATACAAAAGATGAAGATTTTGTAAAATGTGCAACTGAAAATGGATGGGACATATAGTTCCAATTTCAGCCCCCCTAACAGTCCGGACCTAAATGTCCTTGACTTGGGCTTCTTTAGGGCCATTGACTCACTAAAGGAATAGCAAGCCCCTAAGTCAATTTCCCAATTAGTAGAAGCTGTGACATCAGCATTTGATGCTCTCACATCCACCACATTAAACAGAGTGTTCCTCAACTTTCAGTTTGTTATGGAGGAAATACTAAAGCACAGAGGGGGAAACAACTTCAAGCTGAGGCATGTTGGAAAAGAAAAACTTGAAAGGCAGAGCATGTTACCCAAAAAAGTGGAAATCAGCCATGACATAGTCAATGAAGCAAAAGAAGCACTCATACAGATGCAAACAGTTGGGGTACAAGCAACAGACCTGACCCATGGAGGTGAGTTCATAAGTGAAGATCAAGTAGATCTTCAAGAATAAACTCAAGCACATCGATGCTAATGTTTTTGTATGTGCTTCCTATATAGGGAAGAGGTACAATTTTTGTATGTACTCGCATATGTGCCCATAGTACACATATTTTTGTAGTTTCTTTCATGGTTGGCATACAAGTATTAAATGTATGACCACAATGATTCAAATGTAGAAGAAACAATTAATGTTTTGGCTTACATAGGTTGAAAATGAACAACAGTTTGACAATACACAACCATAAAGCAACCTATGTGTAGTGAGACTCAATACAGTAAGCCCACATAATATGCTACACACAATGTCCTAAATGGTCTCCAACACTTTGGCAGAGTGGGTGACACAAGGACATTATGAGCCAAATATTCACAAATGCATAAATTGTCATCATAATGTTTAGATCATAAAAGCCCCCATCATCATCAGTCAAGATACATAGAGTACATACGAATGGGACTAGAAGTACAGTACACACGTTTGAGGCACACATAAGAAGTAAAAACACACATTCAGTTTGCAAAAGTCAATTATTACAGAGATTGTGACATCAGCATTACAAAACATATGGGCATAAATTAAAAGAGATGAGATTAGAAGCCTCCCTAGTAGTAAGAGGAATTAGTCCCCCAAGGCATCCATGGCCGTTTGCAACAATGGCCAAAGATGTGGTTGATGGATAGTGTACCCGGGGGGTAGCCTATCCGAGGGGTTATTGCGGAGAATAACTAGAGAGAAGTCAGAGCAAATAAGTAAGAGAGAGAGTGTATATTCGATATGTATTCAGCGTGGTTTACAATGGGGGAAAGGGGTGCTATTTATAGTGGTAATAAATGCTAGATAAGGACACGTGTCAGTTTTCTGGTGGTCGAGGGGTCACCTCGACCGGGGTGGCACTGGCACTCGCATGTGGCCGCATTAAATGCGGTGGTTGGATGTGACGTTTGTACTTGGTACGGTGATCAAGACGCATGTGAAGAGGATATTCTGTCGAGGTGGATGCCTTCGGCTGAAGGGTGCTGGGCCGAAGGCTCTTCTAACCGAGGGCTCCTACCTGCCGAGGGCTGCAGGTGCCGAAGGCTTGGTTTTCAAGCCTTGTTCTCCTGTGATGCCTCTTCTAACCGAGGGCTCCTACCTGCCGAGGGCTACAGGTGCCGAAGGCTTGGTTTTCAAGCCTTGTTCTCCTGTGATGCATCTTCTAACCGAGGGCTCCTACCTGCCGAGGGCTGCAGTTGCCGAAGGCTTGGTTTTCAAGCCTTGTTCTCCTGTGATGTTTCTGAGCTCGATTCCGTCACTGGTAGCCTTCGGCCATAGGGCCAAAGGCACCCCTTTGCGTATTGTGGGCTGCTCAGAGCTCCATTTTGCTGGGCTTGACCCGTTTGGGCCTGATTGTAGTAGATGAAGTATGTGGGCCGGGGGTCCCTGTGCCATATACTCCATCAGGAGTCCCCCACTCCTTTTGCCGAAAGGTACTTGAGGGAAAAGGAGTAGCTGTGGTGATTTCCCCGAAGGCTTCCCTGTCCTGTTGGGTGCCTCATTTTCTCAATTCCCCCATATGTCGAGGGCTGAGAGCTTCCTGAAGGGAGTGTAAGTGTGTTGCTCGTATGTGTTTCTTTGTTGTAGTTTGTACAGTAATGAGAGATCTGCATTTGTGTGCTTTGCCGAGGGCATTTGTTGGCTGAAGGCTTTGTGTGGCTGAAGGCATCATGTGGCCGAAGGCATCATGTGGCCGAAAGGCATCATGTGGCCGGAGGCATCATGTGGCCGAAGGCATTGTGTGGCCGGAGGCATCATGTGGCCGAAGGCATTGTGTGGCCGGAGGCATTCTGTAAGCCGAAAGCATCATGTCGAGGGGAGTAGATTGCCATTGTGATCTTGCCTCAGCCTGATGTAGCTGAGAAATAGAAATTTTTTAACATTTGCGTGTTTTGCCGAGGGGAGTCCCCCAGTCCCCCACTCCTTTTGCCGAGAGTTTCTCGAGGGAAACAGGAGTAGAGTGATGCATGCCTTCAGCAGGAGCCGCCGAGGGGTGACGCCTTTTGCTCCACAATGGGGAGATGCCTCGTTAAAAACCTCATTAGGAAAAAACCCTGTGGGAAAAAATCCTAATGAGGGAAAAAGAGTACATCGGATGCCCTCAGAATGAAGCAAAAGGAGTGCACCCTTCGGCCTTGATTGTTGAGCGGCGGTTGTGTCCGTCTGCTGAGGGGACATCCAAGATCAGCCTTAGATCCTGCATGAAAAAACTAAGGAGCTTGTAAGGACCCCCCCCCCCCCCCCCCCCCCCGTTATCAAATAAAGGTGACGAAGGGGTGCAAGGCCAGGTGGGCTTGTGTTAGAGCCCCTGGCATCAAATACAAATGCTAGAGGGATGGAGACCGAGGGGTCTTCATGATGGCCCCCGACATCAAATAAAGATGTCAGAGGGATGAAGGCCGAGGGGCCTGTATGATAGCTCCCGACATCAAATAAAGATGGCGGAGGGCTGAAGGCCGATGGCCCGTGTGATGGCCCTCGACATCAAATAAAGATGTCGGAAGGATGAAGGCCGATGAGCCTGTATGATAGCCTCTGGCATCAAATAAAGATGCCGGAGGGATGAAGGCCGAGGGACCTGTGTGATTGCCCCCAACATCAAATAAAGATGCTGGGGGGATGAAGGCCGATGGGCCTGTATGATAGCCCCTGACATCAAATAAAGATGTCGGAGGGATGAAGGCCGAGGGCCGTTGTGATGTGGAATCACGCTGAGGCTGAGGGCCGTTGGTGATGTGAGATCACGCTAAGGCCAAGACCGTTATGACATAGAGTCATGTTGAGGCCGAGGGCCGTCTGATGTTGAGGTCGAGGGCCATTGTGATGTCCTCACGCTGAGGCCGAGGGCCGTTGTTGATGTTGAGGCCGAGGGCCGTTCTGATGCTGAGGTGGAGGGCCGTTGTGATGTGGGATCACGCTGAGGCCGAGGGCCGTTGGTGATGTGAGATCACGCTAAGGCCAAAACCGTTATGACATAGAGTCATGTTGAGGCCGAGGGCCGTCTGATGTTGAGGCCGAGGGCCATTGTGATGTCCTCACGCTGAGGCCGAGGGCCGTTGTTGATGTTGAGGCCGAGGGCCGTTCTGATGCTGAGGTCGAGGGGCGTTGTTGATGTTGAGGCCGAGGGCCGTCTGATGTTGAGGCCGAGGGCCATTGTGATGTGGAATCATGCTGAGGTCGAGGGCCGTTGGTGATGTGAGATCACGCTATAGGAACCCAACGCGACTCGTAATTCAGCATGCCCATAATGTATTCAAAATTTAAGCCAATCTCCGTAACACGGTTGATTTAGTAAACCTGAAGAGTATGCACATGAGTGAAACACGTATATCATTGTTTCTATTAATGATTTGGACTCGAGTCCTGAAGAAGAATTAGGCCAAAACCGTTATGACATAGAGTCATGTTGAGGCCGAGGGCCGTCTGATGTTGAGGCCGAGGGCCATTGTGATGTCCTCACGCTGAGGTCGAGGGCCGTTGTTGATGTTGAGGCCGAGGGCCGTTCTGATGCTGAGGCCGAGGGCCGTTGTGATGTGGGATCACACTGAGGCCGAGGGCCGTTGTTGATGTTGAATCACGTTGAGGCCGAGGGCTTTTGGTGATGTTGAGGCCGAGGGCCGTCCTAATGTTGAGGCCGAGGGCCGTTGTTGATTTTGCGACCGAGGGCCGTTCTGATGTTGAGGCCGAGGGCCGTTGTTGATGTTGAGGCCGAGGGCCGTCTGATGTTGAGGCCGAGGGCCATTGTGATGTGGAATCATGCTGAGGTCGAGGGCCGTCCTGATGTTGAGACCGAGGGCCGTTGTTGATTTTGAGACCGAGGGCCGTCTGATGTTGAGGCCGAGGGCCGTTGTGATGTGGGATCACGCTGAGGCCGAGGGCCGTTGGTGACGTGGAATCATGCCAAGGCCGAGGGCCATTGGTGACGTGGAATCGAATTGAGGTCGAGGGCCTTTCCTTGATAGTTCCAGGAG